CTATGCCTGCCTCGGCGGGCGAGTGTTCCCTGGCCGCCGCCGGGGGGTCGCCCCGGTGGGATCCCCTGTGGGCGAGGGGAGGGCCCCTGCGCCATGCCCGCCTGGCCGAGCGCGGCCCTGCCAGCGCAGACTCGCCCCTCCCCAGCTGGGGCCGCCGCCGCGCGCAGGCGCGCCGCTCCCGGTGGAAGCCCCCTCAGCGACCTTTTCACCTCCGCCTTTGGGAACTCTTCGCCCGCCCGGCGGGTGAGGGCCCCCTTGGAGGGGAGCTTCTCGCCCGCCCAGCCTAGCCCTAGCCTCTCCGCCGATCTGCGAAGAAACTCCGCCCGCCTGGCCTGGCCATGGCTTGTCCGCCGATTGACGTGGAGCTTTTCCGCATCAGCTTTTCCGCTTGGGGCCTCGCTTCTGGGGAGCTTTTCGCCCGCCTAGCTTTTCGCCAGCCTGGCGGGTCGTCTCATTAATTAGACCCTTGCGGTCTCCCGCCGCCCAAGCAGGCGGCGCCCGGAGGTGCCCCTCCGGAGTCGTCCAGCCAACTGTCGCGCGGCGCGCTGCCACGGCCGCCCCCGCTCCTCTCTCCTCTTCATCTCGTTTCCCCTCCCCTCCCCTCTGCCTCAGTCGCTCCCTTTCCCTTTCTGCAGCCGATGCTATAGGCTTACGCCACATCCGCCGACCCCTTGTTTTTGTATAGCCTGTATCGCCGGCTGGTGAGGATCCAAGCTTGGGGCCCAAGCTGGGACCTCCACGGGCCGTCGGGGGCTATGCCGGCACCCCCGGAACGCATGTGTGCACCCTGGATCTGGAGACCTTGCGCGGGCTTCCTGACCGCGAAGTCTGTCGTAGTTTTGGGTCCATCCCGGCCTGGTTGTGCGTCAGAACCTCGGGGATGTTGCGTGGGGTTTCTTCGAAACGATCTCGGGGGACGAAGGGGGGGCAGTGTCAGAGTCCAGACGGAAACTCTTTGGGATCATTGTATTTGCCGCGGCTGACATTCGCAGTGTTCGCCGTGGACGCATGATTATCGAATGGCCGTCGGTCCATCCCGCCACCGTGCCTAACTTGTGGGTATGAGGCCAGTGGGATAGTTGTGTTCGCCGTGGACGCATGATCATCGAATGGCCTTCGGTACATCCCGCCACCGTGCTTGGCTTGTGGGTCTGAGGCCAGTTGGATAATTGATGAGGTCTCGTCGGAGGTCTGTCGGGGGGGGGGAGGCATCCTGCCACCGTGTTTGGGTTGTGAGGCTGAGGCCAATCGGATGGTTGATGGGTCTTCGGGGGCGTCCTGGAGGCAGTTTTTGGACCTCTTGGCGGCCTTATGGAGGCCTCGGGGGTCTTTTTGGAGCCCTCTCGGATTTCCCCAGGGGTTTTGTTGGGGCGACCTGGGGGCGTCTTGGGGCCGAAGGCTCGACATGTCCGTTCGGATTCGCCCTCTGGGCCCCCTCTTAGGGCCGTCCTGGGGCCCTCCTGGGCCGTTTTTTTGTGTCTGTTTTGGGGCCGTTTTGGAGCCCTGTTGGGGGCCGCCTGGGCCGTTTTGGGGCGATCTTGGAAGTATTTTGAGCCATCGTGGTCGTTGTGAAAACCCACGAGACGAATGTGCTAAAACCATACGGAATCCTAGGGGAATGGGCTAATTTGCGTTTTTGGGGGGACCTCGTGAGGGGCCTCTTGGAGGTTTCTGGGAACATCTTGGCGGCATCTTGGGCCGTCTAGATGCCATCTTGGGCGTCTTGGCTCGATCTGTCGGCGGTTCGGCGCCCCCTTCTTGGGGGCCCCTTGGGGCCCTCTTGGCCAGTTGTGAGGCCCTCCGTTCCCCCGTGGCGCGTTCACCCGGGGGTCGTCCCGTGCCCAGGGGGGGGTTCATCTCGCGGTTTGGGGTCTCTCGGGGGGGGGGATTATGGGGGGGGGAACAATCTCACACGCCTCGAGACACACATTTGGTCGGCGGATTGCTTCCCCCTTCTGGGGACCGGCCACGGGGGGGAGAAGCCGACGGATTCTCGCGCCATCATCTCCCAGCTCCCAGTTCCCACGACGAGGAGGAGAAGGAGAAGGAGGAGGAGGAGGAGGAGGAGAAGGAGGAGGAGAAGAAGGATCAGTGGAGCGCGAACTCAGAGAATGGTAGTTGGCCTTCGGAGAACTCGTCGCCACGGCTGGACGCAGCTCGGAAAACACGTGCGTTTGGGCCATGGGAGGACCTCGGGAGGGGCCAGTATTTTGAGTTGCCCGGAGAGCAGGATGATCATGAGGAGGAGGAGGAGGAGGAGGAGGAGGAGGAGGAGGAGGAGGAGGAGGAGGAGGAGGAGGAGGGGAGGAGGAGGCGGAGGAAGAGGAGGGAGGAGGAGGAGGGAGGAGGAGGAGGAGGAGGGAGGAGGAGGGAGGAGGAGGAGGAGGAGGAAGGGGAGGAGGAGGAGGAGGAGGAGGAGAGGAGGAGGAGGAGGAGGAGGAGGAGGGAGGAGGAGGAGGAGGAGGAGGAGGAGGAGGAGGAGGAGGAGGAGGAGGAGGAGGAGGAGGAGGAGGAGAATGAGGAGGAGAGGAGGAGGAGGAGGAGGAGGAGGAGGAGGAGGAGGAGGAGGAGTCCACGCAGGCCGTGGCGATGCGCCATCCCTGGGACGGTGGCCGTCAGTGAGTAGACCGGCGGGCCGTGAGAGGTGGCAAGCACGGCGGGCCCACGGGGCGTCCGCACCCGCGCGGCGGACCAGCGGCCGCGGCCGCTGCTCGTCGTCTTCGGGCTTGTGGGAGTCGCCGCGAAAGGTCCTGCTGCACCTCCTGTCGCAGGCGAGTTGTCGTCCCCGATCTCCGAGCTCCCCCCTAAGAGTTGACTGTGTAAGCACGGGGGAGGCGGTGGGATATACCCTCCCAGGGGGCATGCGGACGCACGCTCATCGAGGAATGGGGGCACCCCCATCGTATATTCCCAAGGTGGGCCCCACACTGTTGTATCGGGAATTGGGGTCGCCATATCCCCGTTTCCGTATTACCCCTCGTCGTCGTCCTCCCTGCTCTTCCCCCGTCCTCCGCCTCCTGCCTTGAAGCGGTTTCGGCTCTCCTCCTCGGGCTTCCAGATGCCACCCGCGGCGGATTGGCGGCGGCCGCCGCTGCATGAGCCGCGCGACAAATCTCAGGCGTGAGCTCCCGCCATGGAGAACACAGTTTTGAGGGAAGAGGGCCCTGACTTGTTCCGCTGCTTTCTGTCACCCACTCGGCGCCCTTCCAGGGCCCTGCAGGGACTGTCCGAAGTCGACTCGGGACGGAACGTCCAGAACGCTGGTCCTGGCGAACCCCCGCGGAGACCCGTGTCCCCCGGGACCTTTTGCCCTTCATTAGGGCAACAAGCAGTGACATTAACGTAACAATTCGGAGGTCCGCGCGGATTTCGTGGATCGGCGCTGGGGCCCCCTGACGGCGCCTCCGCCGCCCCCCCTGGCGCGTTCTGCGCGCCCGGGAGGGGGCCCCAGCGCCGATCCAAGAAATCCGCGTGGACCTCCGAGTTTCTATGTTTATGCCATTGTTTGTTTCCTTATTCATGCCACCTCTCCAGACCTCCGTGAGGCGCGCTGCAACATCCAGGAGCGAGGGGGTCGCGGGTCGGGGGCCCTCGAACGATTTTGAGCCTTCTCGGGCCGCGTCCGCGTGGCTGCGTGGCCGCCGCCGCCGCCGCCGCCGCTCGTCCCGTCCGGACCTCCAGGGGTCGCGCGGCAAGACCAGTTGCCTGGACTAAGATTAAATCGGGCCTGTCCCTCTACAGGAGGACTATGCAAAAATATTCAAAAGTAGTCTGGGGACGATTTGCCGATTATTGTTAGACCATTTTTGAGTTTTTGTTTGACTATTGTTTGGTTCCTCCAAAACATGTGCCTGTAGGGGGACGTGTCCGACCCAAGACTACGAAATGTTATAGAAGAGGGGGGTCGTGGAGGAGCTTCGCTGTTGCCGGCGTCCCCGGGCCCTCCGCGGGCCCACAGGACGTCAGAGAGAACGTGTCGGGATGCAGAGCTGGTCCCCGAAGGAGGCGAGAGGGCCGAGTCTCGAGCTCACCAGGTCTCCTCGCACGTGCGGGGGCCTCCGCGGAGCCTGGGCGGTCGGTCACAGGCGCCGTGCAGCACCGGGCAGGCAGGGTCGCCTGGAAGTTGGAGAGAGCTCCTCCTCCTCCCTCCTCCTCCTCCTGCTCCTCCTCCTCCTCCTCCTCCTCCTCCTCCTCCTCCTCCTCCTTGGGTCCACTGCTCCTCCTCCTCCTCCTCCTCCTCCTCCTCCTCCTCCTTGAGTCCACCGCTGCTCCTCCTCCTCCTCCTCCCCTCCTCCTCCTCCTCCTCCTCCTCCTCCTCCTCCTCCTCCTCCTCCTGCCCCCCCCCCAAACAAAGGCATCACGGCCGCGGGCGCCGTGCAGCACTCTGCAGGCACCGCCGCGCGAAAGCTGGGCGCGCCACCCCTGGGGGGCAGGCCCGCGGCCGATGGATGCGGCGCGCCGGGGGTGCCCGGAGGGCGGGCGTCCAGCCCCCGAGAGGGGGCCTCCGAGCCCCGCGCGGCGCTGCCGTTCCTTCTTCTTGGCATCGCTCGGACGTGTGCGTTTTTCCTTCGGCGGGGACCACCGAGGAGCATCCTTGATCATCTGGGGAAAAAGCCACGCATGACAACGGAAAAAAGCACAGGGAATGGACGTCCGAGCGATGGCCAGTCTCGCGCACGGCCCACCACCTTGCCTTCCTTTCCCTGCTTGCCTTCTTTGCCTTCCTTTTTCTTGCTGCCCAGTCGCGGCCCGACTAGTGTTCGGACGGCGTTCGACCCGCCCGTCGCGAACCTGTTGACCAGAAAGGTGTGGCCCACTTTCCTTTCTGTTCCTCTCCTCCCCGGCCCAGCCCCCCTTGCCGTGCTCCACCCCCTCCCGTGCCCGACACCCGCTCGCCATCTGCCCAGCTGGCCTTCCCGCCGTTCCTGCGCGTGTGTGTGTGTGTGTGTGTGTGTGTGTGTCGCACGGAGCGCTCGGCTGTGCTGCCGGGCCCGCGGCAGGCCCAGCCCTCCGCGACCCAGTTCTGCGCGTGCGACGTGCAGTGGCAGAAGTCTCAGTGGCGCGACCTTCCTATCTTGGACCCGGGGCGGGGGGCGCCCGCCGCCTGCCCGCCACCGCGCTCTGGCCGGCGGAGGTGGGGGGGTCAGCGGAGGAGGGGAAAAGGGGGGGTGGACCGAGGTTCGAGGGTGGAGGTCTCTGCACGTATCTGTTTCGTTGTAGACCTCCATGGGCCCTGCTTCGGTGGAGGAGGAGGAGGAGGAGGCGGAGGAGGAGGAGGAACCCTGATGTGGAGGAAGAGTCGCACCAGGGTGCGAGAGCACTGCTTTGGAAAGGAGCCGCCCACCCTCCGTGCAAGCGTTACGCCGTTTATGAAGCGTCTGGTCCGAGCACGCTGAAGAAGTCTTCATTAAGTCATGGCACTGGTTTTGCAAAGCATGGGCCGCCCTCCGTCCGTGTAGGTGTTGCGCTTGCTTCGTTGTGATTGTTGGGCCGCGTTCTGAGACGGATGCGCTTGCTGCTAGAGCGATAGCCACCCTACTGAAAACGACAGCGCCTTCCTTCGTTGTGATTGTTGGGCTGTGTTCTGAGACCGATGTGCTTGCTGCTAGAGCGATAGCCACCCTACTGAAAACGACAGCGCCTTCCTTCGTTGTGATTGTTGGGCCGTGTTCTGCGACGGATGCGCTTGCTGCTAAGGTGAGACGTGGCGAGAGCCATCCTTAGACCCAGTCGAAGTTCGTCCGTGCAGCTGCTGTGAGCATGCAAGACGATGTTCGCGGCACAGAGGGGAGAGCCACATTTTGGTAGGGGGTCGCCCTCCACCCGTGTAGCTGATGTAAACAGTTCAGACGAGTTTGTACAGAACTCGAGCGCCTCATAGTGAACGCGGGTCGCCGTCCATCAGTGTAGTGCAAGACGCGTGTGCGCGTCGCTAATGCGACAGCCGCATGTTCGCATGTTGGAATCGAATCCACCAATCGTCTCTGCAATCAGCTGTTGGATAATCAGTGGAAGTCTTTTGCGGAGTGCCCAGCCCGCCGTACAGACACGCTTGTGGGGGGAGGAGGGGTGGACGAGGAGACGGGTGTTGGGGGAAGTTGGGGGAAGCAGGAGGGGTAACAAGGTGGGGAGCTTTCACTCCCCCCATCTCCTTTGCTCTATCTCCTTCCCCACCTGTGTATTATGTATCCACTCTTTGTATCTCTCGCTCTCTCTCTGCCCCTTTGTCTCTGTCTGTCGGTCTGTCTGCGTATCGGCCTGTCTGTCTGTGCTGTCTGCCTGTCCATCCTGCTTTCTCTTTCCCTTCTCCTTTCTCTTGTTCTTCTCTCCCTCTCTCTCCCTCTATGTATGGACACTGGCCCACATATCTGTCGATTCACGTGATACCTGAGATGCTGCTGTCGGCGTTTCCGGGAACTTCAGGTTTCGGCCAGGTCTCGGGCTACGGAGTGGGTCCAAGCCCTTGGGTTCCCCGCCTTCGCGCTCGCGAACAAAGCCGCCGTCGGGAATTCTGCCCGCGCGCATGTTTTGTTGTTGACTTTCTCTCTCTCTCTCTCTCTTTCTCTCTTTCTGTCCCGTTCTCTTTCGCACTAGCTCTCGTGCTCTCTCTCTCTCTCTCTCTCTCTCTCTCTCTCTCTATATATATATATAAATATATCTATCCGTAGCCATTTTGGCTCAAGCCATTTTGGCTCAAGGCCAAAATGGTGTTCATTTCACTGCCGATCTGGGGTAGGCTCCCACAGCTTTCAGTGCTCTTCGTATCTGCAGCCACATTCACGGGCGAGCTGCCGCCCACCGCAGCTACACTCAGGGGCGAGCTGCCGCCCAGTCCATATTCCTCCCTTGCGTGGCTCGCGGGAGCTCCCGGGGAAGCGGTGGGACGATGGCCGCCGCAGACCGCGGTGGAGGGACCGCCCCTGCCGACGGAGGAGCTGCCGCCAATGGCGGCACCAGGCCGCGACGTGCACGCCCTGAAGGCGGACGAGGCTCGCCAGGAAGGTTCGCAAGCCAGTACACAGTCTGCAAGCAGTGCCGATACCGATGGGCGTGGAAGGGGAAGTCCGAGTGCTTCTACTGTGGCAAGCAGCTGGCCCCATCACCTGCCGAACACCGCCAGCCCACAGGGGCTTGGGCAGGAGTCAGCAAGCCACCGCCGTGGAAGGAGCAGCTAGTGGCCGCCGCCCCGACTAGGGACGCCATTCTCGCCACGCTCAGCACGCTCCTCAGCGACACCAAGCACGCCGAACTCGTCGGCAACCTCAAGGACGCCCTCCAGCAGCCCGACAAGCCGCAGCCTGCCCGCACTGCAGAGCAGGTGCTCCAGTCGGCGCTGTCAGTCCTCACAGACAGGGAGAAGAAGTTCAAGCAGTCGGTCGACGACGTCGAGGCCGCCAAGCAGTGGTACGACGACGCCGTGGCCAAACAAGAGCAAGCCGCCCTGGACCTCGTCCAGGCACAGAACGCATGCGCCAAGGCGCAAGCGGACCACAGCGCCAAGCTTGCTGGAGCTGCACGCGGAGCACCACCAGTGGGGCCTCAGGAAGCCTTCAAGGTCGACAGCTCTATGTGGGACGACCCCTCCATCTACGACGAGGGCACCCGCGCCCAGATGGAACAGTGGAAGCAAGAGCTCGACCAGCGCCTGGCCGAGCTCAACAAGGGCAAAGAAAAAGTACGTGAACTCCTACGCCAAGCCAAGGAGTCCACCACCAACCCTGCGAAGCGAAAGAAGCCGAGTGGGGAGGAACCAGCTGCTCAGCAACCTCAGCCTGAGCCTGCTTCCGCTTCACCAAAGGAACAGCAGCCAGCGGCCGCACCTGGAGGACAGGTACAACCTGGCACGCCAGGAGGTTCTGCCGCCCCACCTGCTGAGCCACGCCAGCCTGGAGAGGCCCCTGGACCCGCTGTAGCCGCCCCTGCCGCCGACGAGCCCTCCGCGGAGGACCGCAAGGCCGCCGCCGAGCTCATCGCCACCACCACCAGGGCCAGGGAGCTGGCCCTCGCAGCTAAGGGCTCGGGCAAGGGCGCCACCATGGCGCCAGCGGCAGCGGCAGGAGCCCCACCGTCGCTGGGGTAGCCGCAAGCGGCCGCAGCGGCCGAGGGGGCCTGGGAACCGCGCCAATGGGTCCCCCACGGCAGGTGCACCCGCCCCTAAGCCCGAGCAGGCAGCGCAGATCCTGTTCGGCAACATCACGGCGTGGGGCCCGCAGGCCGCCAACTTCTGTCGCAACGCAGGCTTCAAGCACCACCTCATAGCGCTGGCGGAGACGCACGTCGACGCGAACGGCCTCACGGAGCAGATTGGCAAGCTCGCCATGGACGGCTGGAAGCTGTCGGCCACGCCCGCGGTGGCCACCAACAAATCGGACAAGGGGGCCCATGGCGGCGAGTGGATCCTCACGCGCAGGGACGCGGCGGCGACCACGCTCGAGGGCTACAGGGACTACTACGTCAAGCGCCACAAGAGGCAGCCGTTCGTGGGCTTCACGCCGACAGTCCTCCACTCCAAGAGCGGCCCTAGCGGCGCACCTGCGCCCTGGCCTACGGGACCAAGGCGCGAACAGGGGCATCCTGGTCTCCATCTCCACCTTCGTGGGCGTGCTCATGAACCCGTGGATCATCCTGGCCGGCTGGAACTGCGAGCCGCATTGGTGGGGCAACAAGCCGTGGCTCACGCGATGGAACGGCACCATCCTCACCGACCCGAGCTGCGAGGCGACGTGCGACAAGGGCTCGGGCTCCGTGTGCGACTACGCGATCGCACGGGCGGACATCGCCACGCACGTCGGGATCGAGGCCATCTACGACGCCCCCTGGAAGACCCACTGCGGCATCCAGATCACGGCGGGTGCCGCCGAGCCGTGGCAGTACAAAGCTATGAAGGTCCACAAAGCCCTCCCCGCACGAGCCAGACCCAAGAAGGTCGCTGACCCGAGCAGCAAAAGGTCCAAGGCTCGTGCGGAGGCGTTGCGAACCAGGAGGGAAAGGCTACCAGAGCACTTGCGCGACGAGTTCGACGCCCTCTACACCAACCGCGAGACGGCCAAGGAGGACCCCACCCCTTCGTCATCCCCCAGGAGAACTGGGACGCAGCCGCCGACGAGGTCAGCAACCTCCAGAAGTTCGATGGCGCAAAGGTCGGCACCAAGGAGGGCAGAGGACACATCTTCCGCAACCAGGCGCCGAACCTCGCGGAGAACATCAACTCGAAGTACGCGCAGTGGATCGCGACCTTGGAGCTCGCCTTCCTGGAGACGCACGCGGTCCCCGTCGAGGACAGGGCCAGGTACCAGGGCAGGGCAGAGGGGTGCAGGACCACCAAGCAGACGATGAAGGCGTCGCCTGGCAGAGCGTACCTCAAGGACCCCGAGGCTACATGGTGGCAGCACCTCAGCGCCCTCGTGGCGAGGTACACCGCGCTGGCCACCAACGGCAAGGACCCCAAAGCCCGCCAGCACATCCACAAGACAGTCATGAAAAAGCTGGGCGACCTAGAGAACCCTGAGTTCTCCAAGGAGCACTTCGGTAGGAAAACCGACCCGCAGGAGATCGAATAGTGGAAGGCCCAGCTCGCTACCCTCGAGTACTGCGACGAGGCTGACCTGCACCGCATCAGCGCCACCACCATGGAGTGGACCCACAAAGCCATGGCGAGAGCTGCAGGCAGCGCGCGAAAACGTTATCTCGACTGGGCGAAGCAGGCGTGGAAGGATTCACCAGGCAAGCTGCGCCGCATGGCCACTGACCCCAAGGCGCCGCGCCTGGAGGGCAAGCAGCCCCAGAGAACGGTGGGCGACCCGCCCACGCTCATGAACCACTCTGCCGACACCTGGCGCTCCATCTGGGCGCCCGACAGCTACAACGCCAAGCAGATCATCAGCGCACGCGACAAGGCCATGCGGCTCGCGAAGGAGGACCCCCTCCCGCCAACCGAGCCGCAGCACATACAGGCCATCGTGGACACCGCCAATCCGAAGATGGCGAGAGGAGTCGACAACATCGGCCCCGTCGACATCCAGAGGCTCCCCGAGAAAGGGATCCAGGAGCTCGCCGATATCTACAACCAGGTGGAGGCCAACGGACTGTGGCCGCAGCAGCTCTGCGCCACCATTGGGGCCATCGCCCCCAAGCCCGCAGGTGGTGAGAGAATCTTGGGCATGCTCCCCACAATCCCCAAGACGTGGGCCAAGGTCCGCTCCAGTGTCACCGACGAGTGGTCCAAGGAGCTCGGGGAGTTCTGGGACACCGCCATCAAAGGCCCCAGCGCCTTAAGGGCAGCGCTAGTCAGGGCGCTGCTTGACGAGACGGCGGCGACCTTTGGCATTGCTTTCGCGACCTTGCTGATGGACGTAGAGAAGTTCTGCGACTCGGTCTGCTACGCGCCCCTCTTCGACGCCGCGATCGGGGTCAACTTCCCCCCGATTGTCGCGGCGCTGGAGGTGCAGCTCTACCTGGCCCCCAGGTACTTGCGGATGCACGGCTGGGTCAGCGACATCATAGATGCCGAGAGGTCCATAGCCGCGGGCAGCTGCAATGGCGGCAAGCTCGCCAAGGTCTACATAGGGCCGATCCTGCAGAGGGCCCACATCAACCACATGTACGCGGGCCTGTGGACGTTCGTGGACGACACGGTCGCGAGAACAGAGGGCCAAACCAAGCAGGTCATCAGGGATCTGATCGGGGTTGGCGCCGACCTATTCGAAGGCATGATGGGTGCGGGGCCCCGAGTCTCCCCCAAGACCACCGTCGTCGCCTCCAGCCAGACGATCGCCTACTCAGTGCACGACGGCCTCAAGCAGAAGGGCTACTACGTCAAGGTGGCCAACAGCGCGGTCGACCTCGGCATTGACGTGGGAGGCGCCGGGAGACGGGTTGTCGCCAAGGCAATCAAGAGGGCCAGGACTGCGAGGAGGCGCACTCACCGCATCGTCGCCAAGGTCAGGAATCACGCCTCCCTCGCCAAGATCGCGAAGGGATTGTGGAACACGGGGTCCAGGCCACAGGGGACCTACGGCCACCAGACCATGGGCCTCGCCCCAGCGGCCATCCTCGACCAGAGGCGCCAGGCCGTCCAGGCCTCGGCGGGGCAGGTCCCTGGCCGATGTCTCTCCAGGCCTCGGCGGGGCAGGTCCCTGGCCGATGTCTCTCCACAGCCCTGGCCGTCGTCATGAGGAAGAAGGGCCCCGCCATCGAGCTTTGGCCCCAGTCGATCGCCGAGTGGTTCAACTTCTGGATGCAGTACCCAGAACACCACATGCGGGTCACGCAGGCGTGGAAGCTGATCTACGACAAGTCGGTCAAGCGCGGCAGCAAGAAGT